TTTAACAGGAGGAAGGATGAGATCGGAGCTAACAAACATCCTCGTAGATAAATAGGCTTTTGTGACAAATTAAATACTGGGCAACAATGAAAGCATACTGAACAATAAAACTAAACCGTTATTTTAAAGTGAAAATCAATTATCAGTTAAAAGAAAGTATCAGTACTCACCCAAAAACTCCGTTTTTCAGCGAGTCGAACTGCTCTCGAGGCTATGTAGTTGGCGACTGTCTGGTTGTATGTTGCGGAGCTCACCTTCTTTCTCAGCGTGAGACTAAATGTCAACTGTCAGTGTTTCCTCTAGCCACAGAAACTTTGACTGTTTTCTTAAGCACATGCACGACTAATTAGTCAATCTGACAAGTCTCTGAAGCACTCTGAAGCGGTGCAATGAATGATGCCTAATTAGTGTCGTTGTTTTCTTGTACTTGTTGATTTGCCAAATTAGCCAAACACTCTCTGTGTTCACAATGCATGAGTGAACAATTGTGCTAGGTGATGATGCGCCAAGAGAACAGATATTTCACCACAACAGTGTGACAATGACTGAGGAACCTACGCCGATTGATCGTGATGGCGAAGTATCAACAAATGCGTTTGATGTTTATTTGTCTGCTTGTACTCTTTTGCTAATGCATCTATTGTGGTTTGGCGCTCAATAGCAATGGAACTGTCGTCGACAGTGCTGTGGAAAAGTGTTCTGAAGTAAAGAAGGAGACATTGTAAAAAAGTGTGCCCGACAACAGCGCAATGGGTCGATTGCTGGCCGGAGCTGAGAGACGATTATCACCGGTGTGCAAGCAATCGACCCGCTAAAAATGGCACCTTAGCTAAGCACACACAGTCTGATGACGATGCCATGCGAGAGTCACCGGGACTAGTCATTTACCTCGATGGTTCCTCTGGCAGCCTTCATATCAGCACGACCTTATGATGCTGTAGTTCTTGCTTAGTACTCAACAATAGCACCAAACAGTGAAGATAATAAATCCTAATGCACAAGAGCACTGATTGCTGATGATAGCACACAAAGTGTGTTGCACAAAACGCAGATTACAATAGAATAAAAAATGGATAGGTAAACAAAGGGCAACTGTCGACGAAAAGCTGGTGCGCAGATTAACTTTATACAGGGCGCTAAAAACAAAAAATGATTAACAGGATAACAATTGAAATATAAAAAAATTTCCGTTTCAACTAAAAGCTTTTTCGAAACAAATTCCCCTTTTCTGTTGCAGCAACTAAGCTTCAAATAATTTGAATTAACCAAAGTACAATAAATTCACACAAGGTGGCAGGGCAGGTGCCACGAAGCACGTGAAAACAGTGCTTGTTTTCTAGAAAAGATTGCTTTCAAATTTTTGAGCCGGTGGACCACGTTTTTATTTTGGATCAACTGTTTATGTCGTTCAGTGGCAGCAAGCAACTATGGACACTAAACTAGTAAATCAAAAGGTACCTTGTTACTGCTGTCATTTTGAATAAACTGATGAAACCTCTGTTTCAGATTGTTTTGATGCGGAAAACCGTTCCACTTGCCGTTAGAGCCATCCGCCAAAAGATCTTAAAGACAATCCATCAACTTAAAGCGAGGCTGAAAAGGCATGAGGGACAACAGAAAGCAGAACAAGATGCCAAGCTTAAAGAAGTTGAGAAGAAGTTAAAGGATAAACTTAAGGGGAAGATGAAGCAAATCGAGAATATAAAAATTGTGGAAAAGGATAAAGACTATATTTCGAGGTTAGCGCTGCGCCATGATTTGAAATACTTTCGCAAAATGCTTATTGTGGTTAGTACAAATGATAAAAAATTGCGTTTTTATTTATTTAAACCATTTTTTGTCTGCAGTATGATTGCACAACCAAAGAAAACCTTTTGGCGACAATTTGCTCAAGCAAACAAATTCAAAATGACGTCGATAAGTTTAAGCAGCAGAATCCCAATTGTGATCAATGGCTTCCTGAAGCGTTGGATCTTTTGGAAAAGAAGAAAAAGAACAATCCAGAAAAACTTTTAAATTCAGCTGAAACTTTTAAATCGCATTCAACTTTGCCACCTAAAGGCACCAGTGTTCCAAAGTCCAGTTCATCAGACACAAAAACTGGCGATTTTCAAAAGAAAAGTGTATCTTCTAGTTCAAATACGACGTCAAAGTCAACAGAACAATGTAAAATCCGCTCATCAACTGGCAAATTCCAAGTCTCGCCAATTGGAAAAACTAAAGAACTAGTGGAAAATACAATAAAAAAGATTGAACCTAAAGTCGCCAAAACAGAAAGTGCTGTCATCAAGCGACTTGACCTATCTAAACCATCTGATGTTTCCAAACAAATAATTGTGGAAGATTCCAGTTCAGACGACTCGTCTAAAGATGATAAAAAGGAAACGTTTCCTACAGTTGAAAGTAAGCGAAAAGATGCATTCTTCTTGAACAAAAACGGTGATGCAGTTTCTAGTGACGAAGAAGAACAAGATGAAGAAAATGGAGAAGTCGACCAGCCTATTACTGTTGTTGGGCGAAAGGTTTTTGGAAACTCAAAGCAGTTTGAAAGACAGAATAACAACAAGTTCAACGGCCGCAACAGCTTTGGCAATAGAAAACAGTTTAGTAATCTGCAGAAGCCACTAAGTGGAGGAAAATTTGAAAGAAATTCAGCGAAACCATTCACGGAGTTTAAGAAAGAATTTCGAGGATTTTCCGACGGACGAGGAGCACCTGGTCAGACGCCGCGCCCTAAAGAAAATGCAGGTAAATTGTGAACTTCTTTTTTGCAACTTAAATTATAATTACTGACAATCAATTACAGAGAAACTGCATCCATCTTGGCAGGCGAAGCAGGCAGAAAAGAGCAAACTGCAACACCTTTCCTTCGGCGGCACCGGGGCCAACAAAAAGATCAAGTTTGACTAGACTTGTAATGCAAAATGCGAACTTCCTGTACAAATTACCTTCGACTTGATATAAATAATAATTTTATTCATTTTTATTTAGCAATAACTGAAACTAAAAGGACTTATTCAAGCAGTAGTTGGCTAGGTGAATGAGCGCTGCTTGCACGCCGTACTGTAGAACGAGGGCGCCGAAGCCTTTGAAGAGACCTGATGTGCCCTCGTACTGCAGCACTGAAGCGTAGCAATCACTGGCAGAATCGTAGTTGGAAATTAGCGGAATGACCGCCGTGCGACCATCGACGTTGTCAATCAGCGTACGAGTGCCCTGCAGGAACAGCCTGTACATGACTGTCTGCAGCGGATACAGCACGATGTCCGTGATTATGTTCGCGTACAGCGAACACTTGAGCTCGTTGAGTATGTCCTTTGTTCCCGACACTAGTCCGTCGTTGTTGGCAATGGTGCTGGCTGCGTCTGCTGCTGCTCGTTCACCATCGCCAGTCAAGTCAACGATGCCTTGACTAGACTCGCCCAGGATAGTAAAATCATCGTTGGTTAGCAGGTGAGCCTGCTTGGCAGCTGTTCGCTGACGGATTCGCCGTTGCTTCAAGTACTCCTCGTCTTCCTGGGATTGTCGATTCAGATATAGAAGTGCTTCACGAGTAAGTGAAAATAAAATGTAGTGAGCAAGGTGGTAAGCCACTGATGGACCGACAATCATGTAAAACGGCAACTTGCGATCACTTTTGAAGTGGAACACACGACTGAAGCCCTCTTTGATGCTGTCCAGCGGAGACGGAGATTCAGCAACGATAAGAGACTGCACTGTCTCGACGCTGCTTGAGCAGATAAAAGGAGTCACCACGATGATTGATAACGACTTGAGAATGAGGTGCTTCACCAGGCGTTCGGAGAACAGTTGATTCAGTCCAAAGTCGTACTCACTGAGCAAAAATGAATTTATGTCAAAATGCGCGGAAAAGAAACTTTGAGTGAGCACTTACATTGGGTACTGAAGTATGTTGTAGAATAAGGACTCTGAGCCAATCAGAAGAACGTAGTTTACCAACGAACTAGGAAGACCTTTGAAGAAGGCACCAATACCTTGGCGCCCTTGAATGCGCCACATGAAGGGCACCACAGTGAAGGGCGTCAAGTGGTAGGCGACACTTCGGTTGTTTACCTGAGCTTGACGTCGAAAGACGATGAAAGGATGACTGATCACATATTCGTTCAACAGATTGATTATGGACATGATGTTGGACTTTGATGCTTCGCCCATCTTCTGAGCATCACCTCCCTCACCAGCGATTGATGATGGTCGCGGACTGACTACGCCAATCTGAAACGACTTGATTGGGGAAAGGTATTTGTAAGTTTGAGTGCAAAAACAAAAAGTAACAATGAAGACACACCTGATTTCCTGGTCCGCCGCCACCGGTTGAACTGTTGGTGGGACTTAGAGGTCGGGTGCTCATGTCATACACAGAAGATGTGGAATAATTCTGAAAGCTGTAGTCGTCCATTGCATAGTTTGAGCCAGAGGCTGCAAAGCCACTTGAAGAGCTACTCTGCAACGGACCGAAGAGACCTTGCCCTTCAAGTTGTTGTCCGTAATCGGAGAAGAGACTAGGTACATTTTGAGAGGGAGTTGAGGTGACAGGTGTCCGCGGGTGGTCTCCGAAAGCAGAGTAAACAGGCTTGAAGTTATCAAAACTGTCCGCCATTTCTTACCGGGTAAATCAAACTACCCGTAAGCCGGGCAAACGTTTGTTGCCGTTTACTTGGTGCAAGAGTTCGAAACAAAAATTCAGAAAATCATAATCAAAACAAAGCTTTCGATTGTACATCGATGGTGGTTCAATGTATCGACTAGCAAAAGGAAAACAGTCCTCTTTTTGGCTGCTTTTGCACATAAAGAGCCACGAGAGCTTTCAGCTTGGGCTGCGCCAGAGCACCCGAAAAGTGGTCTGGTTTTTCACGTCACTTGCCAGAGTCATGAGTTGCCTGCCACGATTACCAAACAGATTTCCGTGACACATTTCTTTAGTTTGTTTCTGTATAATTTTCATTTCAGCTTACTGCTACCACGAAGTAATCAACTGCACAATGCAAGCAGAACCGGTGCCAACAGCTGAAGAGGGAAACAAAGAGAATGCGCCCGGAAACGTGAAGGCGACCAACCCAAAAGATGTCATTACTCTTGAAGGTACAAATGAAATTAATTAATTCCCACTCCCAAGTTGACGATTATTTTGTTTTCAGTTTTGGCTGTTATCAAGCAAAGCCAGGCGGAACACGGCCTGAAGCATGGCGATTTTCAGCGGTACCGACAGTACTGCACAAAACGACTGGAGCGGATTCGCAAAGCGCTCAACTTTGTACAATCAAGCGGCTCAAAGAATCGCTCCACGTTTGTCGCCAAACCCGTGACCGTTCCGGTAGTCTTTGAAGTGAAACGTACGCCCAAAGACATTCTCCGATTCCTGAGCATTCCACTAATTTCAGCGGAACGTTGTTGGTCTTATGCAATGCAACTGAAGCAGGAGGCCACCAGCGAGCCTAGGAAAAAGTTCCACATGATTCGCCGGTTCCGAAAAGCCGTCCGCTGGTCTGTTGTTTTGCGTGATCTTTGCAATGCCGAGGCTTCAAAGTGCGACCTGCGCACCAAGCTGGAAACAACTGCTTACGCTGATTACCTCAATGGTCTTTACTTCTTTGAGATTGACCAGTGGGCTAAGGCGTCCGAGCTGTTGAGCAAGGCTCAGAACATCTACGAGAAACTGTTCAAAGTCATCTATGACGAGGACATTTTGGCACACTACAAACAGCGAGTGGGTGAAATCAAGCCCACTCTTCGCTACTGTGCCTTCAACATTGGTGAGGGCAAAGGAGCTGTTGGAACGCAAGATTTCATTAACAAAATCAAAACTGAAGTTGATGGCTTTGGCGATAAAACTATCTCTTCAAAGATTGAGGTAACTTTTCCCTGTTGTCTGCCTGTGCAATTTCAATAACCATTTCATTTCAGCAACTCATCGACCAGTCGAGATTAAAGGAGTGCGAAGAGCTGACCGAAGTTGAGTGGCTCGGAAAGTCGGTGTTTGTGAAGCACGACAAGATTCGCTCTTTCTTGCTGCAGTTGAAGGATCCGTCCAATGACTGGCAGGACTTGCCGCTCTACGAGAGACTTATCTTCGAGTGCCGTGATTGCCTTCAGCTGTTGCGAGACATCAACTCCGATCGATCTTCTCTCTATCAGTACCTGACTTATCTACGCCTGGACTTGATCACCAAGCGCAATCTGGCTCTGGTGGCCACGCTTCAGAATCCTGCCGACATTCTACGCCAGTACGAGAGTATCATTGGCGGCTACAATGAAATCAAGCAGCTTCCACTCGGACAGTACTTTACTGACGACTACCTTGTCGAGCAGTTTCTCGCTGAGATTGACGCCCAAATCACTGCGTTCAAGGCCTACCGGTGCTATTACATTGGACTGGTGGCCAAGCAGAACTGGAAGGAGTCCATTGCCTTACTCGATCGGGCTGGCTTCTACGCCAAGGAGGCGCTGAAGAATGAATTTATCACCAAAAAGAAGGTTCGAAAAAGTGTTGCCATGGTGTTTTGTGAAAGATGGTAATTTTAAAACTTGACCCATCATTAGGACATGAAGGAGGACCTACAGAAGCTGCTCTCCAAAGCAGACGCTGACAAGTTCGCCATTTACGCAGAGTCAATTTCCAAGGATGAAACTGCCGACTCTTCTACTATATCCGATTCTAAATTGGTAATTCATACAATCCTTTTGTTATCAGGCATGTAGTTTCTAATCACTTATGTGGATACCCTTTAGCCTCTGAGTCAACAGCTGAACGCCTTCAACTTTGACCCCGAAATTCTGAATGGAAACGTTCCATTGGCACCTGTCACGCCGGAGTACCGCGCCGTGCCCTGCAAGCCACTGTTCTTTGACTTGGCACTCAATCACATTCGCTTCCCCAACCTGGACGAGGAGATCAACAAGCCAAAGGCAGGCATCACCGGTATGGTCAAAGGCCTGGGTGGCTGGTTGGGTGGCTGGGGCACCAAAAAGTAGATGCTGCAAATATGATGCAAAAATACCCGCAAGTTTACTAGTGCTTTGTTTTCACAACTTAATTTGTTAATTTTCTTTTTGCAAAAATAAATCCGGCCTACAATGTAAGCGATTTGGCCAACTACACCCACTCTTTGGGGTTCTTGAGAATGTCCACGAGGGCAGACTCTTTGGTGTTCGGGGGCGGCTGGTGCTGGTACTCCCATCGAGCGGTGAGTGGCAGCGACATGAGGATCGACTCGTAGCGAGCGCCCGGCGTCATCAGGCCAAACTTGGTGCCACGGTCGTAGATGAGGTTGAACTCCACGTAGCGACCTCGGCGCAGCAGCTGCCACTGTCGGTCATTGTAGTCGTAGCCGACACGAGCACGGCGATCCACCACCGGAATGTACGAGGGCACCAGCGTGTGGGCACAGTCCTGCACAAAGTTGAACACCTTGGCCGGCGACGGCTGGTCGAGGTCGTCAAAGAAGAGACCGCCGATTCCGCTGTCGGGAAGAAGACGAGGAAAAGAGTTATCCGACTGTCGTCCACACATTTACTGCTCTCTAGTTCTACTTACCGACTCTCTTCACGGTGTTTGACGTAAAAGTACTCATCGCACCACTTTTTGAACTTTGAGTAGTAACTCGAGTCATGTCGATCACAGGCCTTCTTGAGCAACTGGTGAAACGCCCGGCAGTCTTCCTCGTGGAGAATGTACGGCGTCATGTCGACTCCACCGCCGAACCACCACTGAACTTCGGCTTTTCCTTCGGGGTTCTTCGGGTCAGCTGGCACCTCCACCTCAAAGTATCGGTAGTTGAAGTGAATGGTGGGAATGTTTGGATTGACGGGGTGGATGACCGAACTGACGCCCGCTGCAAAGAAGGGCAGCGATTGATTTGAGGGCAGATTTTTACCCCGGCTGCGCATCTGAGCCACAGCAGCTGGTGGCAGTTGCCCGTGCACAACGGAAATGTTGACGCCAGCCTTCTCGTAAACGGAGCCCTCCTGGAGGATGCAGGTAATGCCGCCACCGCCCTCAGGTCGCAGCCATCGATCCACCTTGAAGCGAGCCACTTTGCTCTCATCAACTTCATCCGAGTACTTGGCCTCCATCTCTTCGAGAGCTCGACAAAACTCGGCTTGAACTTGCATGCAGAACGTTTCAAACTGGGACTTCATTGGTGACTTTTTGAGCGAACCACTGTGAATCAGTTTGCTCAACTCGGGGCTGATCGGCTCCGCCATGAAGTCGTACCGTTGGTTGTACTCATTCGGTTCATCCTTCGACGAAGACCACAATCCAAGTGAGAATGCCAGCAGCGGCGAAGCTCGGGACAAGAAGGTTCTACCTGCACTTGAGGTACTTTGGCGAAAGTGATGAGTACAAAGGCTGGTTTTCACTTGTTTATAACTTCGGTGCACCGTCCAGGCGACAAATGCCGCTCTTTGGTGGAACATGCTGAAACAGGTGCTGAATAGTGGAGCTTCTCACTCCGAATATTCAACTAGTTGATGCTGATGCTTCTTCTTAACCAGTGCCGGTACCCGACGACATTGACGATCACCACCGCTTAAATTGCCACTGATTTCTGATTGCAGACTGCCGCATCACAGTACGGTGTTTGTGGACACCAGGGCAACAATCAGCTGATTGGATTTTAAATCAGGCAGTTTACTTTTTTTGTACGAGGGGTACACATTTAACGGTCATATTCATTACAATTTTTTTTACCTAAACAATACAAGTCACAGCAGTATTGAGGTAATCGGGCAGTCCTTTTTACTGAAAACATCTAGATCGGCGAGTCGTCTTTTAGCCGTGTAGACTTGGTAGTCGCTCCATAGAGACTGCTTCTGTGCACTTGTCGAGTACTTGTCAACAATTTCCTGAAGTTTTGATAGCTTCTGCAGGTATTCAGTTGCGCCTTTGCGTAACTCTGCTCGAGCAGTGTCAGAGTCCTCTCCTTCGCATTCAAAGCTAAATGTTGCCCAGGAGCCATATCGCTGTTGGAGAAACTTCATGACATAAATTGAAGCACACGCCATCAAATAGCCACTGAATACGAAGACATTAAGTGCAACACTGTTTGGTCTTTTAAACTGCCGCCTGTAGAGACTGTAACCGGCAAATGGAACCATCGCCAGGGCAGCGGTGTTCAAAAATGGATCCACTGGAGTAGAGGCTGCATATAAAGAAGATAGCAAGATGAATCGCCGGGCTTGAGATGAAAGTTCTAAGCAATCTTGCAGTTGCTCTAACACCGATTTTCCATCATCATTGCAGTCAGTAAGCTGCTCTTTGTCTAGCCCAAAATGGCACAAGAAAACATCAAAATCAGCTTGTCGATCATCAACTTCTACCGAGTAGTTCAAGTAAAACGGAAGGCCAATGAAGACGCCAAACCTAGAATGAAAAGTTCCATCGACAACAGGCTTCAAAAGTGGAAAAATCAGAGTTAATAACAAAACCGGCCAACAAAATACAACTCACTTCAAGTTTGTTAGCAAATGTAAATTGCGCCAAGTCCATTGTCTTGTAAACTCCCTCAATATTCGATTCTTCAAGAATCGTATACAACTCTTCGAGTAATTTTTTCTCCATTGTCACCGGTTCTCCATTTCTACGTAAATATTGTGTTTTAAAAGATACTTTCATTATAATCATGCAAAAGTAACTTACGAATCTTTAAACAGGTGATTTTTGTTAAAGTTTCTCTCAATGAAGAACGACTTTACGGCAAAATATAATATAGATGCGCCACAGACCATAATCATGATAGGATCATAAACCATTTGGTGTGTATTTGGATCAAGATACAACCGCCGAACTGGATGCCAATTAACCTTTTTTGCCGTTGGTTGACAAAGGGGACGGTTGTACGGTCTACCAGAAAATGTGACGATTGAGCGTCTTGAGGAGATGGAACGGACTAGCGCCGAGCTTATCGGCGATTGACGAAGACGCTGGATGCTAGTTTGAAGGCGAAACAGCCCACTGACTGGACATCGACCCAGTGGAAACATGTTTCCTATCCGAATTCTCTTCGATGATAAACAAGAAGATCAACAAAAATGAAGTTGAAAAGTTGAAAACATGTGAAAACAGTGTTCGCTTGCCGATGGCTCCGACAGGGCGCGCTTCTGTGGTTGCAGTCGGAAAATAACCATCGGTTTGTTTGGATTCCCTAAACTGGCGTCCTCGCCTGAATGATGATCGTTAGCTGTCGCGTCGTTGCTCTGCTCGAACCTGGACCCATCAACACTCTCAAATGGTACTTCAGAATGAATGCATTGAGGACGCCAGCTCGATTGTCTCCTCAAGCCGACCAGCAACCCCACCCACCAGTCTGCTGACCAAGCCAAAGTCACTTCACGACACCTTCAGCCACTTTGATGATGATATGAGCAACGGGAATCCTCGAGAATGGAAGAAAGTTCTCTACCTCAAGCAGGGCGTCCCCGACAATTTTGTGCCCAACTCTTTCCTTCAGGACTTGAGAACAAATGGTGTGTTCCTGGGGAGCCTGCTTCCACTGAGTTTAACCTTTCATTCATTTTCTTCTTTAGTGAATCTGGAAAAGTTTCAACTAGCAGATGTTATTATTGCAACTGGAGCTTTGACACAGCAAATAACCTCAATTGTGATACTTTTGTCAATGTTTTTCTTTTTGGATACCTATGGCCATTCCACATCGACTGTATCGATGCTATTTACGCTGATCGCGCTCATCACAATGTTTCTCTACCTGTCGACAATCTTTATTTCGCCCAATAACAACGGTACTCATTATTACCTACTTCAAATGGTCCAATAGTATTCACCTAATCAAATTCAATGTCTCTTCTGCACATCTTTAGTGTTGACGGAAATACGAAGCTCTACCATTTTTCTGGTGACCGGATTTGCAATGAGCCCCATTTTACGCACCCTCACAGAGACTGTGAGCACGGACACCATCTACGCCATGGTGACACTGATGATGCTGGCGCATCTTTCCTTCTATCACTACGGAATCAACGCAGCCATCGTCTCGAAGCCGGTCTCACTGAATGCCGCCTTCTTTGCGTCCGTTTGCCTTGCATCGCGGTTATCTACCTCATACCACGCTTTCGCTTTTCTCATTTTCGCCATCGACATTTTCGTTCTTTTCGGCATTCTCTACACCAAAATTCCGCGTGTCGCCAAAACAGTGATGACCTTTGTCTTTGCTGTTGTATCTCTTGTGATGCTGCTTTTTATATATTCCCTTTTACACTGTTGTTTATTTCTCTTTCTCATTCTCTTCATTAACATCTTCTGTCCGTATGGGTTTTACAAGATGCAGGCCTACAAAGAGTAAGTGTACAACTGGAGTTGGAAAATGGCTTTACTTATGCAATCGCTTTTTGTAGGAACATTTACGGGCCATGGGACGAGGCAATAATAGATCGATCAAACTTTGTATACCTGAACGGATTTTCGCAAGTGAACTCACCAATGACGCCCACAACACCTACTTTGATGCCGCACCAGCAATACCAGCTTCGGCAGAATGGTAACGCCACATTTACATACGATTTATGGACCAAACTGAAGCCGACCAAATGAGCCAAGTCATGCAAACAAAATCAAAGTACGGCTAGTCAACTTTTCCAAGTCATATACAATCCCAATAAATGATAGTTTGTTTGTTATTCACTTTACTACCACAATTTATATACATTTACTGTTTTTAAAACTTTTGTTATTGTTAATCTGCTTGCATATGATGCTGAGTACGGTGCTCTGTCAATCATTTTTTTTGTTTCTACATGTGTTTGTCAATGTTACATCTGATAAATAAAGTGATTGAACTCAAAAAGTTTGAATGAAAAAACCACTTGTTAGATTGGTCATAGTAAAGAATTCGAAAAAAAACTGCGTCACACGCAAAGTTCGTGACAAACATTAAGATTAGGTCCCGGCGACAAGCAACGGTGTTCTCTGGTGAAATAACATGGAAGAAAAGTCAAAAGAAAATGAAACTCTCACTTTTACTCAAGAAGAATGCTTTTTTGAATTTGCGAAACGAACTATCACCATTCTCGACAAAAGAGCTGCGATGGAGCAGCCGAAAGCGATCCACATGTACAATCGCTTTCAGTGCATCCTCATCATTGGCACTGATCCAGTTCGACTTCGTTTCCTTTCCTACGTGTTCAGTCAACATTTGGTTTTAACGCGCAAAAACCAAGACGTCCATTTGCTAAGGAGTGATTTCAGCTCAAACCTAATACAACATGAATCAGCATTCCGATTACTGGAGAAATACAACTTCCAAGATCAACACTTTTTAAAATGTTTCAAAATCATCAAATTGGCGTCCCATGAAGCTCTTCTCGAACATTTGCTTTCCCTCAACACTGAAAATAGTGATTTAGCACCGGGAGCGCTCATAGTTGATAATCTGGCAAGTTGGACGCAATCTTTACCATCAAACGGCGAAGAAGCGCCCGGCAGCCAGTATTTAGACGAAGACCCTGTCGATAAGAAACTCCGATTCATTCACCTAACCTGTTCCGCCTTACGGGAAGCCATCAGCCACTGTGGGCGTATTTACTCCGGCGAAATAACACCAATAACCCGCCGTACAACGGATTGCCCACAGCCGATTTCGAAAAAGGCACTTCTCATTGTGACACTAAATTTGAATGACTTTTTCACTACTCTGTATCCTGAAGGTCTGCCAGCGGGAGATGAAGCAAAAGACGAGCGCGACCAATTTATCAATGTATTAGCTAATGAATTTTTCTCTGATGGATGTATTGATGCCGACTTATTGTAAACAAGTATTATTTTTTATCAAATAAAAACAACTTGAATTTGAAAGATGAAGAGACGCCAGGAGCAACTCAGCAGAAATCAACACAAGAAATGTTACCGGAATGAGCAAAGGTTATTTGGGGCTTTGCTGCTAGAGCCTTTGCTTTCCAGGATGCAAAGACGNCTTTGCTGCCCCTTGCAAGCAGCATTTCACAAACGTTGTTATTGTTGTCAGTTGCGCAGTGGGACACCGGTGAAGGGGCCTGATGACCACGTCAGCATGCGCTCTTCGCTAAGGTTATGAGGACTCTTGTTTTATTTTAAGCCGCTCAACAAAACACTTTACTTCGTGTTTGGGTTCCGTTCTCGAGGACTTTCTCCTGCTGTAACTCCCCGTTCTTGTGCATCCTTCCACGAAACTTAAAGGACACCATGCTGACCAAAATTGCCGCCAGCACTGTGCGAAACTTTTTGCAGTGCCAATCTGGCCGTAAGTAGCCGATCTAATCTCAATCAACACGAATCCTTTGTGTCATTTTGTGACAATCATTGATCATTTTTCTTTTTGTAGAGCTTTCCCACCTTCGTTACTTGTCGGCTGCAGGCAAAGATCCCAACCCCGGTCTCGCCGAGACCAAACACGGTCGCAAGGAGTCGGATGAGGACTTTGACAACCGCTACATTGCCTGGTTCTCCAAGCCTGATATTGATAGCTGGGAGCTGCGCAAAGGCATCGCCGATCTGCATGGCATGGATCTAATTCCAGAGCCGAAGATCATCATCGCCGCTCTCGAAGCCGCCCGCCGCTTGAATGACCACTCGGTGGCTGTTCGCTTCCTTGAGGCCCTGCGCTGGAAGTCTCGTAGCAACAAGGAGATCTACCCATATTTGATGCAGGAGATTCGACCAACACTCGCCAAACTGGGCATCAGCACTCCGGAGGAGCTGGGCTACGATCAGCCTGAACTGAGCATTCACAACGCTTTCACCGATTAAGCCGACAAATGATAGTCGTACTCTCGTCAATTGATTTTCCAGTCGGGGCTTTATGAAGTGTTGTCAACAATGCAGATGCCTCGTTTGTAATTATTATTATTACTAAATTGAAATTAAACTAGCGGTTCCTTAACTGGTAGCTTTCCTAACTGACACAAGGAAGTACAAGGCAAGTGATAATCACCCGGTCTCTCTGTTTCTCTGCTGTGCAACGTCCATTCCACCATTGCTCATCACATGTCCACTACCATTGCCACTTTGTTGTGAAAGAGCAGCAGCAGCAGCTGTAGTCCGGCAGTTTTTGCGGAACAGTGGCACATGTCGGATGTGATTACTTGCTGCGACTGAGTTATTGGCCAGTTCCTCGTGAAGTAAACAGGTAGCCATTTTGGACAGTTATTACAAGAACACACTCACACACTAATCTCAACGCCTGTTATCGGTTATGTGCGGTTCAATAATCCCATACCAGCGTCCTACTACGCACAGGTTTTGTTTCGCTCTGCAGATGAGCGCGTATTTATTGTCTCCCGAGGGGCAACGTCGTCTGGCAGGGTAGGTGATGTGCAGAGGAGAGTTCATTGCATTCCTGGTTGTCATAAAAATTAGTCAAATGTCGACAGGTGTGCTTTCGGGTTACCAGAAACGGTGACGAAAGGAAGGACAGCGGTCTTTTCACAGGGCCAGTTTCAGCGGCCACTGGCAACTGTGTCAACTGCCTAATTGCCGCTGGCCTGTGTGCGTCGTGATTGCCCTAAAGAGAGTAGCATCTGCCGTATCTGTGATGATCCGGATGATTGAAAGCGTGGCCATCATCAGCAGTGGCAGACAGCGAGCGCAGCAGTTCGACTCGCAGCCAATTACTTACCGATAGTCGCCCCTGGTGACTGACCGACCTCTGGTGCGTGATCTACTCGTGGAGGGAATGCACTGTCTGTTTGTCTGTTTGTCTGCCAAGACAAAAACCAAGTGTGCTTCAGCGGCTGCTGTCACACGCACACACACACCTGATCAGTCTCGCGCCAAACTGGCAGACGTCTTTACCTTCTTTCCCATCTAAACAATCAACAAAGAAGTTTATTTGTGCTGTTAAAACTATTCTCCATTACGTCTCTAAGATGAGCTTTCTCGCAGTGCCCGAGTCTTCGGTGGCTGGTTATCCTGGTTACGTTCTCCCCTCTCGAATTCCCGTCGCTGATGTAGAATCGAATGATGCCCAGTCAGAGCCAACTGGCTTTTGCAACACCTGCCTCTACTGGATGTTCAGGTGTATTCCAGTGTTGATTATCTTTCTCATCATCAACTGCATTCGAGCATTCTTGTTCGATCAGAGGACGGCTTTCACTATAATCAACATTACCCTTGGGTTGACTCTATCTGCAGTCATAATCATTTCTCTGTACACCTTTATATCACTCAAATTTTATCGTCTTCAGCAGAGTCAGACGACATTTTTGCCGGCAAATAATCGAGCAGCTGCAGCCATTGGTGCTCACAGGCAAAGGAATTCTAACCTACAAATATCCTCACCAGTAATCAACGCTTTTGCCTACGAAGCGGTAGAAAGTGTGAGCCAGCAGTATCACTGCACTCGCTGCGCTGCCAGGTCACCCACCACCCTTCAAGCAGACAGGACTTTAGCAGGCACATCGGCTGGTCGCACTCATGCTCGACACCACTGCCCACACAGTCGAACTCGACCGAAGAAGCACCGAGTGTCAGAAGCAGATTTGCCACCGAAATACGAAGAGCTGGAAGAGCCGCCAAAGTATGACGAGTTATCTGCAGCTGATTTGATGGTAAAGAATGAACACTGTCAAAGTATTGCCGCTGACCACCTTGATTCAGTGAAACCTAATGCACAATTGTAAAGACCTGCTCAAAGATTCTGTGATTTTCAGTCAGATTTGTTTGTTTTGAAAAAAACAATTGTACCGTGTTCAATAAAAAGCATTTCCTCGTAATGACAAAGGATTACACGTTTTATTGTCTGTCAAGTGACACCTCAATAATACTGCAATTAATTTTACTGAGACTGCCTGGCAGTGTCTCCAGCTCTTATCACTACACAGCTACTTTGTTTTGAAGGAAGCAGCAGCGACTGCTCCTGGCCACTGAAACTACTTACCATTTTTCTAACTGGTCACGTTACCGGCAACGTTTGGAATGCTAACCATCTTAAAAATGTCACTCATAAAAGGTCATGTTTTCAAAACAACAGGCTTAGAGCAAACACTTTAATTTACATTTTGTTTTTTCCCAACAGAAACAATAAAATTGCTCAAAGTACAATTAACGATTGTCAAAGTAGTCTCGTTTAGTTTGTATTGTCGAATGCAATGGCTCCCTGTGAGTAAGGCTGATCAGGCAGTGTCCACCTCAGCTCCCTTTTGTGATTCCCCCAAACTAGATGGCAGAGGGGAGTGCGCCAGTGGAGCGTGTAATTGTAATTGAGAGTGGATGCATGCACGTCCAATTGCCGTCGACTGCATTGCCTGTACAGCATTGATGATGCACTGAAATGTACTCGCTTTGGCGGCGAGATGAAGGAAAGGACGGGCGTCAGTGGTGGTCTGGGGACCATTGCAGTCGACAGCCAGTCAAAGTCACCGTCGCAGGAGAGCAAAGAGAGAGAGAGAGAGAGAGAGAGAGNGAGAGAGAGAGAGAGAGAGAGAGAGAGAGAGAGAGAGAGAGAGAGAGTTGCACAATTACAAACAGTGGTGCTAATGAGGTGTGAGCACCAGTGGGCACGATCACTACCACACGACGGTGATTGGCATTGGGCAGCATCTGCAGAGGCTGCACACTGTCCACAGGTGGTCTGATCAGCATCACCGATCAGCCTGGACAGCATTGCCTGAGCACCCTACGGTAGTTTGCTTTATTCACAGTTCAGTAGTGGACTGTTTTTTAATTGATTGATTATGATGCTCATAGAAAAACAAAAGAATTGTTTGAGCTGATTTGGTACTTTTTGAAGCATTGTAGTCGAGGAGACATTCAAATGATCGGTTCATTCTCTCATTGCTGGGATTCTGAGCAATGTACCAAAGCATTAAAGAAGGAGGAGGCAACAGTCATGCAATAGATAGAGCAGTAGACAATACTGAACAATGACAGCTCGTTCTAGTAAAGTATCTTGTGACCACTGCCGTGCCATCAGTGGCAGCCCGGAGAACAATCACACACCGGAACTGCTTCTCTAATTAAAAGATAAATAAATGAGACCAAGAGAAAAGAGGACATATTTAATGAGGAGACGAATTTCTAGTGAATTTTGCCGCTGATAAATCAAACGAAAACACATCGGTAACCGAGTGCCAGTAGTCATTAGGCTAGTGCACTACTGACATTCATTGCGAGCTCTGAAAATGATATATGGCATTTTTTAAGAATGACAACGGTCACTGGAATTAGGCTACTTTTCAAAGTTAAATAGTCAACTTTGCAGTTAGAACAAAAGACAATATTATTTTCAACACTAAATCGCCATAATATGTACTTTATGGAATTCAGGCAATCTGCCAAGGATAACCTGTTGCTATTCAGACAAATGTGGACAGACAAAAGTCAGTTGGCAATTTGTTCTTTCAATCTACCATGTCTGCACCAGTCTCTCTTTCTCTCTTTTTCTATTTCTCCTCTTGGAACACTCTTTGCATCTATTTGCCTCGTTTGCAAGGCTGATGCTGAGCCCATAAATTATATGCGTCGTGTCATTTGCACTGCAGCTTGCCGCTACCTTTGCTTGGTGCACCTTTGCGCACTTCTTGCTCAGCTTCACTTTGCGTTCAACATGCCACTTTGAATGGTTGTAATTAAAATTAATTAGCCTCGTAATGTCTGACATACTGTGCGACAAGGAACATGAAGACGAGAGGAAAAGGGCTCACGTGAACTATGGCCGCTGGACAGATGCTCACTGAGTGGAATTTATTCTGATTACCCAAAAATGTATTCAAAGCAATGTGTACTAATTTTGGCACAAAAGGTCAACTGGCACCAGTTATAAATGAGCAGTGAGATAAACAGTTTGTTAAAATTTTTGTTTTTACTTCACTTTGCTTTGAAAATTGCCAATTCTGTCTTTCACTTCTGAATACTTTTGCACCTACCACTGGCCACTGATTTTTTGTTCATCATTTCATTACCTTCCTCAAATTCTCTTGCTGTCAACTGTGAATGCACCTCTTTTTTAAATGAGCCGACAGTGCCATTAAAAGTGCGACCACATTAGTTCATCAACAGTGCAGAGTCCATCAGCATTGGCAAACAACTCACTTTAAGGTTCACCTGTATTCGCCTGCAGAAGCATCGGCGGTGTCTATGGTCTTGCTTCACTGACTGTTTTTTATGTGCTGCATAACCATCAGCAACTAAGCCAAAACTGCAAACCCAAAGCGTAAACAAATCAAACCAAAAATGAAACTGTTGTCATTAGTTTGGCAAGTACTCTTCATCATATGCTTAAACACTGGTTGCCAAAGGGATGTTTTATTCGAGAACTGATTGGCAGCTTCTTGTGGTAATTTACTAGTAGAAGTGCTAGAGAAAAGAATTGCTGCTTAAAATTGGTTTCAACGTTTGTATCCACAATCAAAAAGTAGCTCATTTTAGAAACAACACTTCTTCCTAGTCACTTTAGGCACTTTTGGTTTGTGAAGAGTGCACCAGTGCTCTAAGTTGATGAGTAATGCAGTGGAATGTAAAGGCGTACGTGTAACTGATTTAACTGGGCACTCTTTTCTCTAACTCTCTCTCTCTCTCCACTCAGCCTTTCGTTCGTGTCCACAACACAAAGTACAGCTTGCAGCATTGACAGCGAGTACTCCATGACTGCTTTATAGTGTCAGTCATACAAGTCGAGCAAAGAACAGCAGCAGCAGCAGCAACTATCGACGTCCTTTCTCTCTCCCTTGCTCTCTCAGATCATGATCTCGACTCAAGGAGTCGGACACCGTTCGTTAGTGATAGCTTGCCATTGATGCATATGCAAAGTC